ATCTGCCGGATCTCAGAGTCTTTCAGTTCTAAGAAGGGAGCCAGCACCTTCCGCTGTTCACCCAGTTTGTTGGCAAAGAACTCTATCTGTTCCCCAGTTCCAGGTTTGTCTCGCCGGACACCAGGACTTTCATTTTCCTTCCGTAAAGCATCCTCATCTTCCTCATCTTCATCCTCACCTGTTTTTATTTCTTCAGAAGGAGGTGGTAATTCCTTGGCTAGCTTTATTACCACGTTTTCAAGATATCCTGGCAAACTTTTAAACTGCGGGTTGGTTGGCTGGAAGAAGTGAGGGCTTCTCCGTGCTAATAGTCTTAGTGCTCTCCATCCATAATTTGAATTGTTCACAGCCTTATATTCACTTTCAACCATATTTTCAGGGTCTGCTTGTTCAATGGCTTCTTCAAAAAATTCCTCCAAAGTTGGCATGTACTCCCTTGTCTCTGATTTACAAGCTTCCATATTATCAGGACAGAGATGCCAAAGCCTTGTTAGCTCCCGATTTCCCATGTGAATTTTTCTGTTGGGTCCTTTCCCTAGAAAGTCCTCCGGGGCTCTTCTTTTCCGTAGAACTCTTGCCGGCCTGGAATCTGATGACCTTTCTTTCACAAACCTGGGACAGCCTTCATTTTTCCATGAGTTCCAGTTTTCTTCAGTGTTTAATATATGCTATAACATCTTTGAAAATCTTTCTCCATCGGGTGGGGTTTCAGCTAGTAGTTGATAGTCTGATTTTGTAGTATCTTCAATCCAGAGTGGTTGCTCATCAGTTCAGACAGAGTTTGAACTTTTGAATTTGACCTGCCCTTTGAGATATTGGAATAAAATGAGGTACTGCAACAGGATGTGTCGACGAAAGTTACTGTCACTCAGCTGTAAATCCATCAACTTTTCACTTGTTAAAAATTTTGCAAAATATACATGTTCTCCTCCTGTTTTTAATTCGTTCATCTTTTTCCTTGAGGCTTGTGTATCATCTAATTTATAACTTTTGAAAACAGCTAAAACTTCTTTGGAATACTTGAGAAAAGTTTTCCATGAAATCTTCTCATAACATTGCACAGCGTTCCTGAAGTAATCCTGAAGTGACCAGAAATTTCTACATAGGTTGTAATCAATCGGAAGGGAGCAAATTGTTGGCGCTTCATCAGCTCCCATTTCACCTTCTTCTACAGCCACTCCTTCTTCTCTGTCCTCCGGGTGCTTCTGACCCAGAGCGCTTTCCTGCTCGTGGGTATTGAAAACAGTGACATTTTCCAGATTAAACTGACTCTGTAGGTGAAGACCTGATTTTTCAGATAAAGGGAAAAGCCTGGCCAAAAAGAGTTGAATTCGTCCACAGAAGACTGTATTCTGGGATTTGGATAATCTTCTAAGGAGATCATTACACATCCGTAGTAAATAATTTTTACCCGCAGAATAGAAAGTGTTGGATTTCCAAGTGGCAACATCTTTTTCCACAAAAGTGAATATTGTGTCACACTGATCCAAAGGAAGACCATCCAAAACATCTCCCAGCAGCACGGAAGGTGTAGACGCAGTGCAGATACCTTCAGGTACGCCCCCAATAGCAAGAGAAATAATAGCTAGAACATTTTCACACGATGAATGGTTTATAGCAGTCTCATATTTCAGAATGGAACTGTACTCCAATGGGTTTCCACGGCTGGGTTCTTTCGGCAGATTGCCGAGCCTTCCAGCTGGTAGTTTAGCTGTAGCCACTTCTGGCACCCAGAGGAGTTACTGAGGATCGATAGGGCTAGTTATTTTTAATTGAATTTCTTCTAGAACACCTCTGAAAGCTTGATCAAGAGTACATTTTTTTTTTTCATTTTCGCTGCCAGGTAACTGGGTGAAGGTATTCAACAATGGCTTGATATTTTTGTTGTTCAAGGCTTCTCTGGTAGACTTCGTGAGTCGCTTCCGCGCTTCTGGCAAACTGAAGAGCGTCGTCGTCGGAGAAGCTGCGCGTGGCCGCCACTGCGCCACAAGCCTCTATTTAGACCTCTATAAATGCCCTTTGCCTCCAAGTTCTTTCCTCTATTTCCTTTTACTTTCCTCTTGTCCCACTATCATGTTCAGCCTTTATTTGGGTTTCAGTAATTCCCCTCAGTTACATTGCCCTTGAACAAGCCCTACCAAGCTTCCTACACCCACCTCACCATCTAGATAAAATAATTCTAATAGTGAATTCTAATTGCTTTACACTGAAATCCTGAAATAAACCCCAATGTTGGCCAAGCCCTACCTCTTGGAGACCAGCTTTAGTTCAAAGAAAAGAAAAATCTTTTCAAACCAGTTCATCAGAGAGATAAGTAGAGAAGAAACATTTTGATAACCTACTCCAAACTCCAAGTTCATTGCCACCTAGTCAGTTCTGACTCATAGCAACCTTACAGGGCAGGGTAGAACAGCCTTGTGGGTTTCTGAGATTGTAACTCTTCAAAGGAGTAGATTCCCTACTAGGGACTCTAATATGACCAAAGTACAATGTACAAATTCAGGAAATTTAACATTGATATCATACTACTGTCTACAAAGCCCACATTAAAGTTTTGTCAGGTAAATTTCTCAATAGTGTTCTTTATAATAGAGGGCTTTGATTGGAAACCATCAGCACATTGAGCTTCCCAGTTCCTCCAATGGAGAAAGATGCTGCAGTTGACTTCCAGAAAGGTCGACAGCCTTAGAAACTTATGAGGCAGTTCTATGATTCCCTATAGGTTTGCTAGGAGTTAGAATTCAGCTAGAGGGCAATGGACCCTAGGCACTAGGTACTGTGTATGACCTATTATGGTGCTCTTTCAATTCACCGACCAAAGAAGTAATAGGCTACCTTTTCATAAGAGTGAAAACTAAAGATAGAGAGATTAAGTAAACTGTCTGAAGTTGCATCACCCAAAACCAAACCCCTGACCACCCAGTCGATACTGACCCATAGCGACCAGGTGTAGGGCTTCGGAGACTGTAACTCTTTACAGGAGCAGCCACATCTTTCTCCAGCTGGTGAATTTCAGCTGCCAACCTTGTGTGTTAGCAGCCCAATACCTACGCCACAGACCACATCAAACCTAAGTCACTGCCACTGAGTCTGTGCCAACTCCCAGTTTCTGAAACTGTAATTCTTTACAGGAGTAAAGAGCCTCATCTTCCTCCCATGCAGCAGCTGGTGGTTTTGAACTGCTGATCTTACAGTTAGCACCCAACTTGTTACCACTGTGCAACCAGGATTGTTTCCGTGAATAGTGAGTAATAATGAAGCAGTCGTTTAAATTCAAATCTCCACACTCCTGAAGCTGTCATTAGCTAACTGTAGTGCTTCCTTCGCATGCCCTGAAAGATGGCAATACTTCTTTCATTCGTTAGGATAGGTTAATTGTAACAAATTAACTCAAAATCGAACACCAGCTCCCAAAGAGAGTAAAACGAAAACCATCGAAACTATAAGGAAGCAAGTAAACTAACTTGAAATAAATACTTTCAAAGCTGACTCTGTTAAACAGATGGCCTCTATGGGAACTCTTAAACCTGGATTCTTCATGATTCAAGATTCTATAATGTACAGCTGAGCAACACATTGGCTTCTTTCCCCGATATGCACAAAAACCCCAATTCAAGCAGCAAGAAAATAAATGGTAGCCTAGGGTGTTTTCTCTCCTATTCCAATTCTAGGTCATTCTTAAAAGAAAATCATCTTAAGCTTTAGCACTACCTGGAGGGGAAAAAAACTTACTCAATAATAATATATTGCCTATAGTTTATAGTTGTGGTAGAAAAAATATATATAGCCCAATTTAAACCCATATTTCTGTTGAAATATTGGTTTTTTTCTGGAAAAGATTCTAATTTTTCAATAAAATAATTTCTATAAACAGAGGCATTTTAAAACTGTAGGCTCTGCACTGGCGTGCAGGCTGCCATGGAGACCAATGGACACAAATATCACATAAAATCTAAATCAGCCCCAGTAATTCCTGTTGGGAAAAGGGATGTTTTTCTTTTTGCTATAAAATTTTATTTTATAAGTTCAGCAGTGGTTGGAAGAAGACAGAGTTCATAAAGCTGGCACAACATGCCCTTCTGGATGGTACTCAGTATAAGCAGAGCTGAAGGCTGTCTTTCAAATGATCTGATTGGCCAAGAAAGAAGGTGGCTGTCACCGATGGCTGTTTCATCCTTGGGGAGAGAAGCTGGGACTCCTTTGATGGTGCTCTGACCTCATCCACAGAAATCACCATGGATACTGAAAGAACTAAGAGAGAGGAAATTCAATTAAAAATAAAACACTCTGCACCTACTATGGTCCAGATGCCATGAAGTATAAGTATACGCCAAGACCTCACTGCACGAATCCTTCATCTTCTATCTAGCTCAAAAGAGAATGGAGTTTTGAATCTTCTTTCCACCCCAGGTAGCTCAGAGGCTACTGTTTCAGCATGATATAGCAAGGCTGCCCGCTTTCTTGTTTCAACTTAAGAGAGAGAGAGGAGAAAGCATTAGAAATAGTATTCACGTTTGACACCTTCCTAAAATAATTGGCTCTTAACCTCAGAATTGAGTTTTCATGACTTACATTTCAAGAATGTGTGAAAAATGGTGTGGAGGACCATACCTGCCTCACTTGGCTTTCCTCTTGCGATGAGTTAGAGGTCAGACATGCCTTCACCTATTTCATCCTTCTTTACCTATTCTGACACTAATCATTCTTCTCACAGCCCTCTACATCAATGATGGCTTAGATGATTCATTCTAGTGGCCACACAGAACTCAAGACAGAATTCACAATTATGGGGATTTAGTATGGAAGCTAACAGGGTACTACAATTCAGGACCAGTAAAGAGTAGGGATACAGTTCAATGGTCAAAGGAATACCTCTCCTCAGCCAGTAGCTAAGTCTCTCGCCAGTCTTTAGCCTGTCAGCACGTGGCCCCTTGACCTCTGCCTCTGTGCACCAGGAAGCTAGCCCGGTGCTCTCTACCTCACAGTCTTATCGTCTCGCCACTGCTCCTTTTTTTTTTTGGTCTCATGGACTCCTTACCTCTAGTCTGACTCTAGATGCTTTACTTTGAACCAAATACTCCATGTTGCATTCTCTGGTGCCACTGGCCTCAGCCTCTGCCTTGAGAACTCAAATACTTTCAATGGCCTTGGACTTTCTCCCATCTGCTTCCAAAATGACTTATACTTGGACACAAGAGACTGACTTTGTCTTTTCAGCAGACCATAACATAAGAACTCACTGCCATCAAGTTGATTCTGACTCAGCACATCCTACCACCAAGGAAAACCAGGTAATGTACTTAATTCACACCTTCTATTAAACTGGAGACTTATCTCCCTGTGTTAGTCTAGGTGGAATAGAGAAACAAATTCACAGACACTCATATGTGTATAAGAAAGAGGTTTATATATAAGAGCCTAATCCAGTTCAAGTCCATAAGTCCGATATTAGCCCATATGTCCAATACCAATCTATAAAGTCCTCCTCAGACTCACGAAACACATGCAATGACACCAAATGCAGGAAGATCACAGGCCAGTAGGTGGAGAGTCTTGTGGATCCAGTGGAGGCGTAAGCATCTCCACACTGACAGGGGTCTCCACATGGCTCCTCTGGCTCTAGAGCTCTGGGTGCCATCAGCATAGCTCCATCAGGCTCATAGTCAGTAATGTCTCACAGGGAGTGAGTGTGTGTCCTGCCTCCAGTGAGCTATTTATCTCCTTAGCGTCTCCATATGAGGTCATCAGGCTGCGACCTGATTGATAAGCTAAACTCCACCCCTTCACATCTAAGTGTCAAATTGACAACAGATTATGTAACTACCACATTCATCTTAATCCTGTCCATTAAAGTAGCAAAGAACTTCTTCCAAAATGGGATGATAGCCACAGCTATAGAGGCAAGAATGTATAATATATCACAGAAAAGATTGTGACTAGATGGGTCATAGTATTTGAATACATCTCAACATGAATGTTATCACTTAAATACTAAACCAAACTCACTAGGACCCTGTCAATTTCAACTCGGGGCAACTTTTTATAGAACTATTATCTTTGTAGAAGCAGACTGCCTGTGTTAGTCTGAGTGGACTAGAGAAACAAATCCAGAGACACTCATGTATGTGTAAGAAAGAATTTTATATGAAAAGTAGGAGAACATCTCAGCCCAGTTCAACTCAAGCCCATTAGTCTAACACTAGTCCATAAGTCCTTCTTCAGATTCACGCAGCCACATGCAATGATGCAGAAAGCAGGAAGATCACAAGCCGGTGGGTGCAAAGTCTTGTGGATCCAATGGTGGTGGAGCCATCACAGGGCGCTGGCAGACATCAGTGTCAGCCAACAGGAAGGTGAAGGCAGAGAAAGGGAGGGGGGGGGGTTAGTTTTCAGAGTTTTACACCCTACTTTGACAAGTAGCAAGCAAAGTCTTCAAAGCTCAAGAGGAGCCATACTATTGATCTCCCTTCTCCCTCAGAAAAAAGAGTGAAGAAATTCAAAAGATACAAGGAAGCAATGAGTCCAAAGGACTAATGGACCTTGTGAGCATCCGTCTGTGGCACAGCCAACTGCTCTGAAAAGGGTCACATTAGAAGGTCTTGGGCAGAGTGGGAGTGGGGTGGGGGCAGGAATGTCCAGAAAAATTCAAAATCATAAAAACGACCAGTTTACTGGTCAGACAGAGATTGGTGGAAATGTCAAGACTATAGCTCTTCGTCTCCCTTCAGGATCGAAGCTGAACTCACACCTGTGGCTCAATTGTCAGCAGAACAACAGACAGGTCTACAAGAGAAGCAAACACAACAGTATGGCACGATATGCACACCTTAGAATAATCAACCATATAAGATCAAGAGTAGAGCATTTGCCCAAAGTCAAGGTCAGATGATTAGGAAAGGAGGAAGGACAACAGGACACGGAGAGCTGTGGGATAAGTGATGGCAGATTGAGGCGATTGCAGTG